TCCATTGATGATTCAACATTGGAGGAGTTGCCTGGTGACTTGACGCTTGAAGGCATGAAGACTGAAATTGGCAATTTGGATAGCATGCAGTGCGGTGACTTGTTGACTGAGTCTGAATTAGGTGACTTGAGAAAGCAATGCAGGGTAATCCCATCTCGGTGGGTGACTACGCGAAAGAACGCGTCTTTGGTCCGTGGGCGGATAGTCTTGAAAGACATTGCAAAGGGTGCTGAATCAGCCCGGTCCCTTGGAATATCGTCACCTACTCCCTCAGCTGAGGCATTGTTTGCCATGCTGTGCTTTGCAGGTGAAAGAGATTGGCTTGTTGGAGCAGCTGACATTTCGGCGGCCTTTATGGCCACGCCGCTGCGTACCCGGAAGGTGGTCGCCAAGTTGCCTGCAAGCATCACTTCCATAAGTGGTGAGGCGCTGTACCTGTGGCTGAGTAAAGCCCTGAATGGCCTGAGGAGTGCCAGCCAGGAGTGGAATGTGTACTTGTCGTCGATTGTTGATAAGTGCAGGTTACGCTCTTGTGGTCTAGAACCTTGCTTGTACAGCGGTTTGTTGCCTCCCAGTGAACCATGCATGATTCTGTCATATGTTGACGACTTGATTTGTGTTGGGCCATCGGTTGATGCAATTGACTTTGTCTTTGATACCGTTGGGAAAAGTGTGAGGTTGAAAAGAACTGGTTTGATACATGATCATTCGAAAGGGGGACTCAGTGGGCCATGCTGCAGGCTGGAGAAACAGATGCAACTGTCGATAAAAACGGTCCGCAGAAGTCCACAAAAATCCAAAGACAAGTCTTATCTCTGTCGTCAGACCCATGTAGGTCAATGAGATTGTTTGCAGCAGTGCCGAACGGCACTGCGGGCCCAGACAAAAACTCGGGCAGACCCAAGCTGCTGGTACGAAACCTGAGCGGCGCAGCAAAAATGCCGTCACCTACCCACCAATCGCTTGCAACCGAAACTACCATGACGAACACATGGGCAGCAACCTTGAGACGTTGCAGCGAAGTCCGCCAACCAAGAAGAGAATAAAGTGGCAAGAAGCGGCCGCAAGATTGAGCAGGAATGAGGTTCCAAGACAGGGTCAAAAACAGGCAGTTTTGGGGTGACGCATGGGCGTACCCCCACAACACGTTTCCCAATTGCTTGCACTCCTGCCACGCACTCAGCAAGGCTCAAGCTCGAGGCTCAAGGCGCAGCGCAGAGATCCGAGGCAGCGAGCAAGGGTAACGTGTAGAAGGTGTGAAAAAGATTTCCAAAGACCCAGCACATTTTGCGCGTCATAATGAAGCTCAAGTGGAAATTCCAGTTGACGAAGGCTCTCAATGGGTGGGTTCTTCAAACCCAACATATTGGTCACCTGTGAATTATGGAAAGTAAATCAGTGAGATGCTGCAAAAAAAAAGTTTGATCCAAAGACTTACTGTTATTGGGGCAAGCGGGGTGCATATCGGTTGCTGCTTGAACCCATTTGAAGTTAGCTTCTTATTATTTCGTTGCGTCTGGTGGCTTGATTGTTTGCTGCCACAAGAAGGCCCAGCCTTTTGCAGCCCTTAGGTGATTGCTTGAAGTGTTTCTTGCTGTTCCGGAGTTTGTGGGTTTTCGCGCAGGTGGCCGGCTTCCATTTGAATTATTGTATTGAATACTTTACTGCCCCTTATTGGCCCCCTTTGCCCCTCCAGACTCCTAGCGAAGTTTTAAGCCCAGAAAGAACATAAATCATTATCTTTTCAGTCAATCCCGTTATTAATTAATACAGTAGTATAAATTTAAAACGGGATGGAGTAGGAATCTGCTTAGGAAAAGATGTGGGAAGGTGAAGTATTGAAGGCTTTCTTACTCCGCCATCGTTTCGATACCGTGTCACTTACATGGGTCAATTGAAGTAAAGCATAGCACGGAGTAGCGGAGTAGCGCGGAGTAGCGAACGATTGGTGAATGTTGCCTGCGTGGTGCTGCGTCATAAATCGCCACATTGGAGCTAGGGAACGGAGACAGCTGATACCACATGTACGCTTTCAGGTTCCATTTCTGGGGCCGGAAAGTCAATTGAAATCAGGCTTCGCATGTGCAGGCCTCCTCTGTATGTTGCGACCTTCCTTGAAAGAATCAGAGGGAATTTCCCTAGGCCCTAAGAGGCCTTGAGAAACTTTGAATTGTCCTGACAGAAGTTGAAAGAGTTGAGACTGAACCGACCGCAGTGGCAAAACACGTGGCGGAAGTTTCAAAAATAGTAAACCTATAGGAGAGGTTGGTTGTTGTGAATCTATCTCTCATCTGTCTATCCAAGTATCCAACTATCTAACTATCTGTCTAACTAATCAATCAGTCTATCTATCTATCTGTCTGTCTGTCTATCTATCTGTCTATCTATCTATCTATATATCTGTCTATCTATCTATCTATCTAATCTAATCTAATCTAATGTAATCTAATCTAATCGAATCGAATCGAATCGAATCTTATCTTATCTAATCTTATCTATCTATCTATCTATCAATCCATCCACCTATCTGTATATATATATATATCTCTCTCTCTCTGTCTGTCTGTCTCTCTATCTATCTATCCATCCATCTATCTATCTATCTATCTATCTATCTATCCACCTATCTATATATATATATATCTCTCTCTCTCTCTCTGTCTGTCTGTCTGTCTGTCTATCTATCTACCTGTCTATCTGCAAGCTTGAAAAGAAGCTATTCTGCGAGACGTCCTAAGGTTTTGAACTAGCTATGTATCTATCTATCTATCTATCTACCTAGCTATCTATCTATCTCATCTGTCTATCTAACTATGTATCTATCTACCTACCTCTCTACCTATCTACCTATCTACCTATCTACCTTCCTACCTACCTACCTATCTATCTCTCTCTCTCTCTCTGTCTGTCTGTCTGTCTGTCTGTCTGTCTGTCTGTCTGTGTGTCTGTCTGTCTGTCTGTCTATCTACCTATCTACCTGTTTATCTGCAAGCTTGAAAACGAAGCTATTCTGCGAGACGTCCTCAGGTTTTGAACTTGACAACATCAAAAACGAAGCCATTCTGCGAGACTTCTTCACTTTGCAAAGTTGACAACACCAAAAACGAAGCAATTCTGCGAGACTTCCTCAATATTCCAATTTGACAACGTCAAAAACGAAGCAATTCTGCGAGACTTCCTCATTTTTCGAAGTTGACAACATCAAAAACGAAAGAATTCTGTGAGACTTCCTGCAGAAATGGAAAGTTGCGTGCAGAGCTGACGGCCTCGTACCAATGCGTTTTGTGATTTTTCCAGTCCATCTGTCTAAACTACTGCGCCTGCCATGCAAAAGTGATGCCAGGTCATACGAAGTGCTGCACCTGTCACGCAAAAACATCTCAGCAAACCTGAAGATCTGATGCTCCAAAATGCAACCCCTCTCAGGAAATCAGCGCCCTGACCCCCTAACAGCTCCGATGAAAATGTCTCTTGTACTGCGCGTGCCACGGAAAATGCATCTTTGCAGATCCTCTTCAAATTTCCCACGCCTGCCATCGTTTTTGGAAATGCTACATAACCCTCACGTTTTGCTCACTTTTGAGAAGTGCCCCATCCCTTGCGCCTGCCACGCGAAAACACATCTGAACCTCCAAAAGGGGCGCGAACATGTGGTGTTTTGTACATTTTGAGTTCCAAATGTGCTTCGCCACAACGGCGTGCACTTTTTCGACATCGCAACTTCCAAACGTGGTCCGAACCTGAGGTGTTTTTAGTTTTTTCACTTGCAAATGCGCTTCGCGCCACAACAGCGTGCAATTTTTCATCTCTCATCTGGCCAGATGGCACCGCACCCGCCACTTTAGCGAGCCAACGGCCAAAACCAACGCTAAACCGATGATGGATAACAAAAACGAAATCCCAAAACAACAGATCAAATCATTAATTAATAAAACTGATGGGGCCCCTACCAAAAACAAACGCAAATGAAACGGTCGTGTAGCCAATTCCAAATGGTATTCGAAGGAAGCTTAGAAGTCAAACTTCCGACAACATGGACAGATGAAAAGCAGAGATGGGAAGAGTCAGAGAGCAGAGAAGAGTAGAAGAGAGAAGATCAGAGAAGAGAAGGAGTCAGAAGAAGAAGATGCAGATGCGCGAAAAGGTAGGAAAGTCGCGAAACACTGTGTTTTTCCAATGATTTGTGGTTCCGGACGGTCGAAAAGTATCCCCATCAATCGTTTCCAACTTTCCAGCCCCAATCATTTTCAGCATTGTTTTGCCTATCCATTGTTTCCATGTTTGTTCCCGTTTTTTTGAGTGAACAAAACTAACTGATTGCACAAACAATCAAATTTCATACAAACATCAAAGAATTTTCATAATTTTGGTTCAATTCGTTCGTTTGTTTTCACGAAAGCTAGCGTCAGCTAGCTGGAGTCTTCTTGCCTTAGCAAGTATTCAGGGGGCTGCTCAAGGACATCACGTGATTTTTCACGTGAAAGGGCCCCCCCCCCCCCCCCCCCCCACACCCCACCACCATCACCATCATCATCATCATCAGCATCATCATCATCATCACCATCATCATCATCATCTCCACATCCTTAGCACCCTCGTCCTCATCATCATCCCGATCAGCTGCCGCAGCCTCATCATCATCATCAGCATCATCATCATCATCGTCATCATCATCATCATCATCATCATCAGTATCATCATCATCATCATCATCATTATCATCATCATCATCAGTATCATCATCATCATCATCACCATCATCACCATCATCATCATCATCACGAGCATCATCATCATCATCATCACCATCAGCATCAGCATCATCATGTTCTTTTCCTCATCCTGATCATCCTCCTCATCATCATCCCGCTGGCATTGAAGATACGTTTTCCTTCCTTCTTTCTCCTACCCCGCTAGCTTTCGTCATCCACCCCCGGCCTCAAGTTGCAGATTGGTTTCATTGAGTCGTTCTGCCGCCATTAACGTTGAGGGAACCAGGGGGGGAACGCGGTCCGGCACGTTTCGGGCCTTTTGTTCCTTTCCTCCCACAAGTGTCAGCCTGAGAGAAATTGGGGATGCAAGATTCAACACTGGACAGGACAAATTTCCAGTGCAAAAACATCAATCCCTGTGCTCGTTCAGGTCCGCTAAGTTCTAATGCAGTTGAGACTCGCCGTGGTGAGCGCTTTATTGCTCACCATTCAAGGTCCAGATGCTGCTTTCATAGAGTTCAAGACTGTACGAGACATGACATGTGCACTTGTTTTTCCAAAAACAAACATTGTGTGAAACTCTCTGTTGCAAAACGGTTTGACCCCACAGATCAGAAAACCCCACAATCCATTATGGCAATGGAAAATCCCCCATTTATACATGATTTTGCCATGACGACTGAAATGTTTTTAACCCTTCCAGGCAAGGGTCAGCCCCCATAGTTAATCTGTAATACGGTGACAGTTCTGCACGGGTGGGGTTATCCCAGTTCATTTTGACACTTGTAATGTGCACGTTCAGGAGTTGATGCGGTCTCCTCACAAAGGGTGGCATCAGTCAGGACCTTAAACCACTCAAACCACATGAACCGAATTCGATTGAATTGGTTGGAAGTCATCGTTCGCGTTTCCCTTTGTGTCCCAAGGCAGGGTCCAAATCTGGAACCGGCAACCCATGGTTTTCCTTGCTGACCAAAAGCTGGGCGTTGGCAGGGGAATCTGAGCCTGACCAAACCAAAGGACACTGAACTGCAAATACGACACCGACACTCCAACCCTTCGAATTTCTGTATGGAAAAATGGTGGTAGTGATGTCGGTGGTGAACATTTTGCATTTTACGTGGAACATGTGGTACTTGGTTGCTGTTATGTTGTGACATTTGAACGCATAAATGAAATTAAATTCCCACCTTCACTAAGTGAGAACATTGCGATTCGATCACGCATACACACACACACCTTTTTCCATTCTTTTTCACAAGAGGTTCAATAGGTTGAAGTGAAACAATTTATGTTCATTTTGGATGGCATTGTGTATTAAGGTAATGTTTTGAATGGCATCGTTTCCAGGACTGGATGATCTCGCCAAAAATATTGTTGAGTTGGCCAAATCTGGAGCGCCAGATGAGACCATGGTAAATGCCGTTGAGAGCATCCGTGCTATTGCCACTTGGCAAACAAGGTCAAACCCGATCTCATTCTTTGTATCCTTCACAGGAAATCAGAAAACACAGTTGTTTTTTTTTAGCAAAAATTTGCCAACAATTATCGAGGTGCACGATATGAAGGCTGCAGTCAATGACAGCCACGCGCTGGCACAGCAGCAAATCAACCAGAAGGCATGGGGAGACTTGAGCATCAACGTCTCGCATTCAAACAAAAAGTCTTCAGATCATTTATGTTTCTTCAAATTTTCCATCTATATAGACCTTTGTTTGCCAAATCGATAATACTGTAATTTTTTCCTCCGGTGGTTGAAGTGAAAAAGTGAGAAAATGACATTTATTTTTGCATTTTTCTCAGCGAAATCGAAAACGGTGTTGTGTTCAGGCGAAGGCGGTAGCGAGTTGCCAGGTCAGCGGCAGAGCCGTGTTGTCCACCAATAGCTGTTACAACCAATCGAAATAAATCAGAATCCATGGGAATATAAATTGGAAACATTTTTTTCCACGGTGCCAAATAATGAGATACAATTGACGTGCAATGGCGGATTCTATGCCAGGTGCCGCCCCACACAGATTCTGACTACTTGGACAGGGCCATCATCCACGGAGAGAATTCGATCGAAAACGTGATGACCTGCAGAAACTTGGCATGTTCTTTCTTTTCTAATGGCCGTTAGTCACGGTTAGTCCTTATGCTCACACCATCATGTTTCATCGGTGAAAGGTATGCATCAAGGCACCAATGTAGGGAATTTTGGAGTGGAACAGTTTCTTCACAGTATCTTTGGTCTCAAGACATAATTATTAATTGTGCATACAAAAATATAATAAACTGACGCTACATGCATAATGTAGCATGACATTGCACGACTCGCATGACCTTACATGATATTGCATGACATGGCATGACATGGCATGACATGGCATGAGATGGCATGACGTTATATACATGATATTGCATCATATAGGGAGAACTTGCAGTGATACACAGCAGTTCTTGCTTGCAGACCTAGTTACTTGAAATTGTTTCGTTTTGACTATTCATTACCCTAGGAAGTTACCTGCAAACATACTCACACTCTTCGGAATGCTGCGCTTTTACCTGAGTACAGCATGCTTCCCTTCAGGAAGAAACATGCTGATGCGAACAAAGAAACACACACAATATATAATATAATATAATATAATATATAATATAATATAATATATAATATAATATAATATAATATAAGATAATATAAGATAATATAATTCAATTTAATTTAATTTAATACAATATAATATAATATAATACAATATAATATAATATAATATAACATAATATAATATAATATAATATAATCTCATATAATATAAAATATAAAATATAAAATATAAAATATAAAATATAATATATAATATATAATATAGAATATAGAATATAGAATATATAATATATAATATATAATATATAATATATAATATATAATATATAATATATAATATGTAATATATAATATATATAATATACAGTAATATATATATAATATAATATAATACAATATAATATAATACAATATATAATATAATATATAATATATAGTACATCATATATAATACATAATATATACTATATACTATATAATATACAATATATACTATTTAATATATAATATATAATACATAATATATAATATATAATATATAATATATAATATATAATATATAATATTTAATATTTAATATTTAATATTTAATATTTAATATGTAATATATATATATAATATAATATATAATATGTCATATATATATAGATGTATATTTAATATATATATATATATATACAATATATAATATAAACGAGAAAGAAACACTGTATTGCTCTTTTGAGATCCAAGTTCCATGGGTTTGATATTCCCTCCTCGAAAAGAAATTGAAGGATAATTAATTACTCTCGTGCAGAGCACAAGACAGGCATATACATAATAATTACCCGCAGAACCAGACGTTCGCCCATGCTCGCATAATCTCCCATTTTTGCCACGGTTTAAACAGTTCTCTCATCTATATAAATCCACAGTGATTCCCTCCATTTTCCATCATTTTTACCATTGGTTCCATGATGTCGCATTTTTCCCACGATGTACCCTATATCGAATCAACATCTGAGATATTGTGTTATATTTTCTTCCGTCATATTACATCATTGCAGAAGGATATATAATATCTGCAACCCCCTCAACAATATGTATGTATCAAGGTCTTAAAATGGATATAATTATTATGTTATATTTTCTTCCATCATATTTACATCATTGCAGAAGACCCCCTAAACAATACGTATCAAGGTCTTACATATAATGGATATAGTTATTATGTTATATTCTCTTCCATCATATTACATCGTTACAGAAGGATCCAAATCTGCCACCCCCTCCAAACGATACGTATAACGGTTTTTTAGTGGTTATATTCTATCTTATCCAAAATACAAGTGGTGCAAAAGGGCCGCTTTCTGCGAGAAAACCTAGGATTCGGGAGAAATTTACGTCAAGAACATTCAAGAACCCTTCCACGACTTCGTGGGGGTCTGTTGAAAATTCGGGTCGTTTTACCCGAAAAAACATAGGCTCCGGGTAAACGTCCGGATCTGTGCGAATAATTATCTACACACATACCAGTAGTACCGCACAAGGCAGTGGCGGAAGTTTCAAAAATAGGAAACCTATAGGAGAGGTTGGTTTTTGTGAATCACGGATGGCAGAGCGAATCCACTGATGGACCGACAGGTGGTTGGACTTGTGTTTCTTGGAGTGGTTGCAGTGGTTGGGGTGGTCACCTCAGCACAACTGCTGGATGTAGTGTGGTGTAGTGCAGTTGTAGTTGTAGTGTAGTGTAGATAGTGTAGTGTAGGTGTAGTTGCAGTTGCAGTTGTAGTTGTATTTGTAGTTGTGGTTGTTGTGTGCTGCAATGTAATGAGTATAGTGTAATGAAGTGTAGTTGGAAGTGTAGTTGTGGCTGTGGTGGTAGTAGTGGTAGTAGTGTTAGTAGTGGTAGTAGTGGTAGTAGTGGTAGTAGTGGTAGTAGTGGTAGTGGGAGTAGTAGCAGTAGTAGCAGTAGTAGCAGTAGTAGTAGCAGTAGTAGTAGTAGTAGCAGTAGTAGTAGTAGTAGGAGTAGTAGGAGTAGTAGGAGTAGTAGTAGTAGTAGTAGGAGTAGGAGTAGTAGTAGTAGTTGTTGTTGTTGTTGTTGCTGCTGCTGCTAGTTCCAACGCCAGTGAAGAACTCAGTGAAGGTTAACCGGACAGAACTGGAACACACGCCACAAGGTGTGCTTTCAGTTTTTCTCAGAGCAGGGAAAGCCTGCAGCACCTTAACTTTTCTATGGAATTCAGCTTGCAATAACGTTTGCAATTCACACGTTCCCACCTCCTGCCCTCCCCAATTATGTAGGACATTTTTCTTTGCCGACCTAATCTCGGTTGTGTGGCTGCGCATTCTTTGAAGCACCGTCCACGGCTTTCCCGTCCCAATTGCATTCCCTCAAGGTTTTCTGCGGTATGTTAACTCCTATGGAAGGACAGAATTTCCTCATTGCTGTTGTTGTTGTTGTTGTTGGTCATGCTGATGATGATGATGGTGATGTGATTGACAATGAGGGTGATGATGATGATGATCATGATGTTGCTGTGATCGGATGAAAAGGGCATGGAAACAGGATCCAGCACAGATATTATCATTGTTTCATGACTTATATAAGCAATTGTCTTTGAATGTGTCTGGCCCGAGATAGAGCCAAAGTAATTGCGATCACCAACGAGGGCAAGGTGGACTCAAAACGTGCTTTCAATCACCGAGATATAATCGCACTATAGTGGCGGTACGAAGCTTTCAATGCACGACTGCAACAGCTAGCACGAATAAGTCGCCGCCGCTCTCAAAATGCCTACGACAAAAACAAGAAAACGAACATGAACGCTTTCGACATCTTCCATCGCACAACCACCACGAGTCGCACCCATTGCACCGCGGACGCGCTTGACAGCACTGGCAGTTGCCCCACAGCATCTACTCTCCAGTGTCTGGCATTAGGTATGATTCTGCGGAAGAACATGCTATCACCACCGTATCCTTATTGATCCAAACGATGTCCCAGCCCACCTTCCGACCATGTTGTCGAGATCAGCCACGGCGCTGCTGCTTACCTCTTCCCTGTCCCCCACATGTCCTACCTTTCGTCCACCCCCCTCTCAAGTTACATTACATTGCATTACATTGCATTGCAGTACATAGAGATTTAGCTACCTACATAATACCTGCATACACCCGCGTGCATATGTATATATAGTGATAGGGTACACACACACACATATATATATATATATATTACAGATAATATACACATACACAAAAATGGTCCCGTGCCTCGTGTTCATAAATAAATAAATAAATATATTTATATATATACATACACACTTATTTATATACATGTACAATACACACACAGATATATATATATATATATATACAACTTACATATACATATAGGGACCATGAAGATCTCCGGGGGGAGGGGGGACCACCAGATGCTGGGCCATATAAAGATATCTTCGGATTTTTCCAGTTGAATTCATGTCCATTATTGAATACGTAGATTTTTTGAAACGCTACATACTGAAATGTTTCTTCATGTCTTACATACACGCATCTTTTTTCCTCCCTCCCTCTCTCTCTCTCTCTATACCTGTGGTTTGCATCATTTTGGTGTCCGGAATTTGTGCTCAAAGCGACTTGTAGTCTATTGTTCCACCTTGGGTCCATCTGCCTGGTCAGGACGCGCTGCCCCCCCCTTTGCAGCCTTGTGTAGAAAAACTGTGATGAATGGGACCAGGAGTTGAATCTAATCCAACTTGCTAAGAGAGAGAGAGTGTGGCATTATTTAGAGGGTTTCAGACCAAAAAGGCTGAGATGGCTGCATCCCATTGAGATTGAGGAAAGTTGTGCTTTTAAAGGCCTTCGAGGTGACCAGGTCGGATTGACATAATTTTACCGGAGGTGTTCTTCCTTGTCATACCGCAGAGGATTTGGGAGGCATCGGCGCCACGCAAAGATGGCTCACCCCAGGAAGCCAAATGGCTCAACTATTTCCCCCGAAAAGTGAGGCACGTAGGGACCATGAACAAAGAGGACTTGGTCGCACACCAACACTAGAAGTTCACACGACAATCGTCGTGCTGAACTACAAAATCATTACTCTAGGTCAAGACTTCAACATCAAACTCATGCGGATGTTACACAGCATCAAATTACCGAAGGATGTTTAGAAGTCGAACCTCCGACCTATGGACAGATGCAGCAACAGTGGTGAGAGCAGTCAGAGAAGAGAGAGTCAGAAGAAAGAAGATCAAAGTGCGGAAACACTGTGTTTTTCCAAAAGTAGGCTCGCTACAGTGGGTGCGGAGCCATCTGGCCAGATAAGAGAGGAGATCAAAACTTGCACACAGTTGTGGCGCGAAGCACATGTGGAGGTCAAAATGCACAAAGCACCTCAGTGTCGGAACCTTTTGGAAGTTGAGATCTGGAAAAAGTGCGTGCCACTGTGGCGCGAAGCGCGTTTCAAAGTCAAAATCAGTTTTGGAGCGTTTTTGGAAGTTGAGATGCTCA